ATACATTCCGACTAGTGACCCACTGACCATTAACCTATTATAAAAATATTGTATCAAATTAAATTAAAACTAATTTTAGATAAGATGTAACTAATCTATTATAATTTAATGTTCTAAATTTAAATCCAACCTTAAAAATACATATTAATCCATGCTAGAAAAATAATAATAAACAAACTAATATCCATGCACAAACTATATTAAAATTTAATATATTAATTTAAACTAAGCTATGAATATATATTAAATTAATAATTAAAAGAAAAACAAAATGTTGTACCAACTATACATTTATAAAATACTGCTTGCATAAAACGTATATATAATTTAGCTCCAAGAGAGACAACTGAAGTGCTAATGGTCAAGTGGTTAAATTTGAGGAGCTGTATCAAATTATTGAATAAAAACTTAATTAGATTTAAAATTTATAATGATAACTTATTTTTAAAAGATGATAATACTTTTAAGTATAAAATAATATAAATTTACTCTTACAAATTTAGAGATAAAAACAGTTAACGAATAAAAATAAAATAAAAAAATATTAATTGTAATATATAAAGAGATAATTTATGTTAGTGGTGACATATAAATAGATAAAAATATTATATATTTTATAAAATATAAAATACTTAATTTAATTTCGAAAATTTTAAAGAAAAATATATTTCAATAATATAAACGATGGATTTCACAAATATTAATAAATATATAAATTAAAAATATAATAATAATTAAAATTTAGACTAATTTTATATTTCTCTTTCATATACATTATTGTTTATCGTATGTAAGATATAATTTCAAAAGTCATAATATATATAATATAAATTGAAAACTCTCATAATATATATAATATAAATTAAAAACTCTTAAATTATTTTAAACCGTTTAATATAAAAAATGAATTTGATATAAAATATCAATAAATATATTTTGTATTTGAATTAATAATTATTAATAATAATTTAATAAAATTTATCCTGGGGTTGGTCTAAGTGTAAAAACATAAATTCCTCAAACAAAATCAATTATACTTTAAAATCATTTCCAAAATGAATTCAGAGTTGCAGTAGATTGTGGGAGAGAGGGCTCCGAATGACAGTCTGAGACAGTTGTTTCCGTAATAATTGTGTTGAAGCTCCCTCCGATATCATGTTCCATTCTCACCGTCTCAAAGCTGTTGTCTACCTCAACCATCTTTCTTCAACTCCAAAATCTCACCACCTTCTTCACTCTCTCAATCCCTTCTCCACCACTTCAGATTCCTTCACCCTATCCTACTTCACCAACAACTGTGGCTTATCTCCACAAGACGCTCTCAAAGCCTCAAAACGACTCCGTCTCACTTTCACCACCCCCGAAAAACCCAACTCCGTTATCGCCTTCTTCAAAACCCATGGTTTCTCCATTCCCCAAATCCAATCCATCATTCTCAAGAACCCCCAACTCATCCTCTCCAACCCCACCAAAACCATTCTCCCTAAGTTTCAATTTTTAGCCTCCAAAGGCGCTTCTCCCTCCGACATAGTCGCCGCCGTCACCAGAAGCTCTCGTTTCCTCCGTGTAAGCCTCGAGAAACATATTATCCCTGCTTTTCAGTTGGTACGACGTTTCTGTCCCTCCGATCAAAAAGCCATTACTTCAATTATCATTTGTCCTGCTTCAATTAGTGATGTTCGCATGAAACCTAATGTCAATTTTTTGCTTGATTATGGGGTTACTCCATCTAGTATTTACCATTTGCTTAGTACTAGACCTTCTGTGATTTGTTCTACTGATTTGACCGAGGTTGTGGAGGAGATTAAGGGATTAGGGTTTCACCCTTCTAAATACAATTTTTGTGTCGCATTATTAGCCAAAAGGGGTATATCCAAATCCCAGTGGGATGCTAAAGTTGATGTCTTGAACAAATGGGGTTGGTCCCAAGATGAAATTTTGCATGCATTTAAAAAGAACCCTAAGATTATGCTACGGTCTGCGGATAAACTCAACGCCGTGATGACTTTTTGGATCAAACAGCTTGGTTGGGATCCTTCCGTGCTCTTGGCAGCGCCGGATCTATTTGGATTTAGTCTTGAGAAAAGGCTGATTCCAAGGGCTTCAGTTGTCCGGTATCTGTTATCTAAAGGTATGATAAAGAAGAGTGCTAGTATGTATACACCGTTTAATTTGTCTGATGAGTTGTTCATGAAAAAGTATGTGAATTGTTATGAGGAAGAAGTATCGTCGAGGCTATTAAGGCTATATCAGGGGAAGGATGCTAGCTTATAGTGCTTGGGTAAGTTGTGAATTCATATTTTGGTGTTACTGGATAAACCGTATTATGTGTATTCATCTTGTTGTACTTGAATGGTGTTGTTTCACAATCTTTTTAGCTTTTGGTACATCACATTTTTAACTTATTTCCCTAGTTTTGTTTTATTTTAACCTAATAAGTATACGACGACACAAGAGAATAGGTTTGTGGTTGGAAAATATGTTTGTTTTATTCCATACTGCAATTTATGTTTTAAGAGGTGAATTGTTATATGTCCACTTCAGTTTCTTTAATATACCATGTAACATAATTCATCTTTCTGGTTCAGTGATTCAGTATCAATACAGTTCAGTTTTCCTTTACATATTTTGGGTCCTATCTATCAAGAATGCTAAACTTAATTCTTGAAGAGACATTATGATCTGGTTGGACTCATGTAGCCAACTCTACATAGTAGAAAAATATTTTATTGTTTGTATATAAGGCTTTTTTGTATGGGTATGTATGAATTATTACAACTTTATAGCATTGAGACGAACAAATATGTGGAAATACTTTGAGGTAACACACCCTTTAATTTAAGTGAAGTTGTACATACCATTCATAAAGAAGTTAAGACTATTGATTGTTTCTTGGAACTTGAGGATCTGTCCAGGTCCTTGTTGCTGAAACCACAACTTTTTATGGATTGTGTTATTTGCATATAATCTGTGCATGCCATTTTTCCTCCTTGAACCGTTACAAGTCATTTTTGCTTCAAGAATTTGTTTGTTGTCTGAAATGAAAAACATATCTGAGGCCCTGATAAGATTACAATTTATCTATTTCAAGAAAAATAGATAGTGGAGTGGTTTTGAGGCAAGTTGATAACATTTCATATTTGTTTTTATGATTCTGTTGAAGAATATAAACGGATGTAAATAACTATTCCTGCACAGAGAATGGTTTCAATCTGTTAGAGGCAGTGCACTGTTTTTATCTGGTGTTCTTGTTTTACACATAAATCTATGAATAAAGCGAATATTGCGCTCTACTTTTCTTTAGCTGCTCACTCTAGTTTGGATGACCATTTGGCACACTGGTGTGGGTTGAAATGGACATGATATCAATGGGTTCTTGATGATTATAAGACAATGAACTTGTGGTAGCCGATCTCATTTATTGGAATAAGACTTGGTGGTAGTTGTTGTCGGGCAATGAACTTGTGAGCCTATTGTTGCGTACTCATTTGTGCCAGATCAGTTTATGCTTATATGCTATTAGAGTTGGATATTCTTCTACTTGTGATGTAGTAATTGTCTTTGGTTTAAATGGATATGTTGATAACTAATATGCCATATGATTCATTGTTTGACTATTATTTGTCTTTTAAATGAACTTCTCTATCATTATGGACCATTTACCAGCTTTTTAAACATTGATATACACTATGCAACATGCTGGAACAGATGGACAGTTCATAAAGATCATTTAAATGCATAGAAAGTGGATATAACAATTCTTGTTATGTTTGAACGATTCTTCTGAAGTAGTTTTTCCAAACATTAGCCCGTTCCTAGGATGGTGACACTTTTTGTGGCATGTTCGTCATAATTGTCTCAACTAGAGATAGATTGCGAGATAAAGGAGTTAGTGTCTAAGATGCATCGTTTGTGTGAGATAGGTGTTGAAATAACCTTCCCTATTGTGGTGATTGCTTACGGTGTTCAGAGTGGAGGTTAGAGTGGCAGTCAATTGTGGTGATCAGTGGTGGTTGAAGTGGAGGTTAACATTGATCTAAGTGGCACTTGACAATTGTCAAAGTGGTGATTGACAGCGATTGACGATGTTCATAGTTATAGTTAGTTACAATGGCAATATTAGAGATTATAAGTGGATAAAGTGGTGATCTGAGGATCATAGCAGTGGTCGATTGTGGTTGAATTTGCGATTGACCCAGGTCCATTTTTTATGCTAGCATGGAGCTTGTAGGTATTAGTCCGCAGGAAAGTGTAGCAGGAGTCCTTGCAGCAGTGGCGTGGTTAGAGCATACATTTTCTTTCAAATGCCCAAGAAATTGTGTAAGAAATTTATGGATGTTTGGCTTTTTTTTAAACTTCCTCTAATAGTTGTGTCCATGTGTGTTAGTGTCTTTAAGATTCCTTAAAGTATTTCCCTTTGACCATTTTAAATCATGCTGTTTAGAATAATAGAAAGCTTCTAAACGACCAAACTTATGACAAAAATCACATTTATAAGTAGGACGTTAGGTTTCCTTTTTATCATGGTAAATACCGATAAATGATTTATTAGGTTGATAATCAAAGTCTCAATTTTATTATAGAAAACTATTTGATTTGATAAATTAATTCTGTTATCTTTACTCTCAGTTACCCAGTGTTTCATGCAAGTTATTTACTTCCTTTTCAACCAAATATAAGTTTCACATTTAACTGATTGTCTTTGGATCTTAACTATTTCGTTTCCAAGCTCTTTATTATTATTATTTTTTAAAATCAATATAATATTTATACTCTAAGATGTTTATTTCTAATTCTTCATTTTCTTTACTAAGTTTAACACGTACCTTAAACTTTTGATTATACGTTAGGGCTGTTACCTTGCAATAATCTTCTTCATTTGTGGCTATGAAGCAAACCTATTCTTCTTTGTCATATTCCTTTATCGTTCTTCTAGAGGGTTTTTCATGAGAATCTTTGAATGAGCTATCAAATATATTTTTGAATATATTTTTGCATGAATGTTTTGAGGTCTTTCCCATTACCTTTTTAAATATTCTTTTAGATGATGATTTCTAAAATTCTTGACGTTGATTCTTCAAGGAATCATTCATTTAGTGTGATAGTTCTTTCAAACGAAATATTTGATGTTAGTCTTTCGATCATTTTTTCAAGTAGTCTTTTTGATGAAGATGATGAAGATTCTTAGAATGTTTTTGAATTCTTTTCTTCATCTTCCATAAGTTGGATTATCTCTTAGAATTTCAAGATAATTTTCTCTTTCGTGGATTTTTTCTGAAATTCAACACAATCGTTTATATCATTTGAATAAATATTAGATCAAATTTCTAACACAAATTCTCGAGTCTGAGATATTTGTTAATTTTGTAAAACAAGTTTCAAGGATTTCAATATTTGATAACCATTATGATGATGATCTCCACTTTCACTTGGCGAGTCATCTTCTTGGATATATATGTTCATTCTCTCTGGTTCAAATTTGGAAAAAATTTCATGAATTATTTTAAAAGTGTCTCATAATTCATTGGCTGAATTACAATTAAAAACATACAGGTACTCTCTAGTTTTTAGAGCACTCATCATCATACTTAGATTTAAAAACAAAAAGGTATTCTCTAGTTAACCTCATAGCTGAGCAAAACAATTTTTTCAAAAGATATTATAAAGATATAACATTGCACCCACACAAAAATTCTCACATATATTTTCAAAGTACTAAGGTATCCTTGTAAGGAATTATAAATAAATGAAGTAAGAGAGAGCAAAGTGAGAAATAATAGCTATATAATCAATTTATGGTTTAAGGAAAATATGATGAGAAATCTTTTATTTATAGGAGAAAAGAGTTGGTCAAAAAGGAAAAATATTCATGGGTATTTTAATGACTTAGTCAATTAAGTTCTAGAGTTAATCGATTAAAAGTTTCAAAAATAAGGCAACCCTAATCTCAAAATGGAAATTGTACAACGATCATGTGTCTTAATCGATTAAGAGTATCTCTAATCGATTAAAGGACCTTTTTTCTTGATCTAATTGATTTAATTAAATCTTTAATCGATTAGACATTGTACAAATGTTTTCCAAATGATTATGAACACTCTTGTTCAATTCCACATGCATCTTGATAGCTTTTCCTTAGTTTTTAAGGCATTTTAACAAATTTATAAGTTTAAAATATTTTTCAGGTGAGTGACTGAGTTGCCTTAGTAATTCAATAATTATTGTTGTACATTTACTTTACACTAATAACTCTGACACGAGATTAAACGAGTTTTCACAATTCCTTTCTTTGCATAATTTTTTAAACTTCAAGATTTATTACTTGATTCATCGATGATTCAACACTTCATTTGAGAATTGATTCTTCTAATTAATGAGGTTTGATATATCTTTTTTGATAGATGTTATCATGAGAGATTAGTAAAAAAGAGACCATTAGTGAGTTCATTGAACACCATTTGAAATTAGGTGTTATCCTCTTTGAATATATATTAATGTCTTAATCTCACATAAGCATTTTTGATAGAACATCTTGACCATTGCTTTGTCTTGATATATGAGGATTTCATATCATGTTATTTGACATATAATATTGTCATCATTAAAGCTATCGTGAACATCCAATAATTGTAAACAGTTGTATTTGTAAGTACATATCTTTATATTGTACACAATCATATTCATATTGTGGCTTTGAGCAATGAGGTTCCATATAAGATTGAATTTTGAAAGAATGCCATATAAGATTGAATTTTGAAAGAATGTCATATATAATGATTTTGTGCATATGTTCTAAAGGATGAATTATCTAAATGGGATGCAAAGTCAAATCATTTTATCTTTAGTAGTTATGTCCAAGATGAATTTTGTTACAAATTGTATGATCATATAAATAAAAAGCTTATCAAGAGTTGTGATGTCGTTTTCATAGAAAGCCAAACTATTGAAGAAATTGATAAGGTGGAGAAAAATACTACGTTTGAGAAAGATAACATATTGTTTGATGTTGATCCAATTTGGTTGCCTGATGTTGATCTAGATACTATTGACGACAAAGCTCAGAATGGTGAGCCACACTTATAACTTAGTGACGTTTTCAAAATGCAAGAGGGATATGGAAAATAGGTGGATTTATAAAGGTAAACGCAAAAGTAACTCTAAATCTGTAATGTATAAAACTATATTGGAGGTGAAAGATTTCCGTAAGAGAAAATGTGTTGATTTTAATGAGATTTTCACTTTAGTACTTGCTATAGAATTAGAGGTAGAGAAAATGAATGTGAAAAAAACCTCCCTTCATGGTGATTTTGGAGGAATAAATTTATACAAAACAACCTGATGAAAGTTTTGTTAAAGGCAAGGAAAACTATGTGTGTAGACTTAGAAAAAGTCTAACTTGAGTTCTAAACAAAGTCCTTATAGTAAAAATGAGAAAATAGATATGTAATGTGTTCCTTATGTATCTATTATAAGTAGTTTGATGTATGCAATCATTTGTATAAGGCTATACATTATATGTGTTGTTAGTACAGTCAGTTGATTTTTGTTAAATCTAGGTAAAGAATATTGAAATATTGTAAAATAAATTTTGAGGTATATTCGTGATAGAACTTGTACGAGACTTTATTTTGGAGGTAAAAAAATTATTTTAATGGGGGTACTCTAACTCTGATATAGTTGAATATATTGATTCCTGAAAGTCTAATTTAGATTACATGATAAAATTTACTGGGGTTGTAGCTTGGCAATCTAGGTTACAAAAATATGTAATATTTTCTACTATGGAGGTAGAGTTCATTGTAATTACTAAAGCACATAAAAGTTTGCTATGCTTGAAGAAATTATTGTAACGGATTGGTTTTGTTCAAGACAATTATGTACTATTTGTTGATAGTCAAATTGTTATTCATCTTAGTAAAAATTCAACAAGTCCAAACACACTAATATGAGGCATTATTGAATATATGATGCATTGGATCTTAAGTTGTTAAAGTTAACTAAAATTCATACTGATGATAATGATTTTGATATGACGACTAAAACGCTACAAATAAGGTAGTTTGAAACTTGATGTGATATTTTCGTTTTGGTGATTACCTCCCCATAGTTGTGAGGGAGAGATATGTTAGATATTTGCCTCCCTTCTTATATGGAGAAATATCAAAATATGCTAGTTGATATGTGTTACATTTGTATTAAGTAGATATGATCATTTTTGAGTTAGAAAATGAGAGATAAAAGAAAAATAAAATTAAGCACCAGTGAGAAAAAAATACAAAAAAATCTACTCTCGAATTTCTCAAACCAGTTCTAAAAAAATAAAGATTCCAGATTCATTAATCCTAAGGTCAGTAAATTTCCCTTTTGGGAAATAATTTTGTTATAATTTTACATATTTAATAAACCATATATTTTAAGTCATTTATATAAAGTATACATAATTATTAAAATTGTGAGGTGTTTGAGGGGTCTCTTGAAAAAATATTAGGAACGGCAGTAACAGGTTAACAGGTTCAACAGGTTGGACTTCTGGGGTAAAAGCAACAAACACATACCTCCGAAAAGATGATGTCGGAGGCACGTGAACTCGAGAAGATAATGCTTCTGCATCAAATGAAGTGGCACTAATGGTTGGACACAAAAGTCTAGCCTTTTTCCTCCGAACGAAAACATTATGAGTCACTCTATCATGGCTCAATCTTTCTTGGTTGTCAGATATTTTATCCTTAATTAAACAAGAAAAATCATATCATAATCAAAGAAGTCATACCCAAGAAAAAAATAGACAAAATCAAACAAACTATGCATATTATTAGAAAAATTCAGAAGTTAACTTCAACACTAGAAATCTCATAATTTCATTTGACATGAGTTTGAGACTTGTCTACTATTATATTTTTGATGTATTCAGATATTAAGTTTCGAATTTTAAAAAAAATTATCAATTTTTCATATTGATGAATAAGTACCACTAAGAGTGCGAAGAATAATCCCTAGACTAAATCTAGTCTGAGTGTACTCTTGCCTTATTCTCCAATAAGGTCAGCCCAAATCAATAATAAGTTGACTAGATTTTCTTTTTTTTTTTAAATTGAACAAACTTTAAAAAAAAAAAAAAAAAAACTCCCTTATGCAAAAGCCTAGAAAATTAACAAACATAGAGTCAAGAAGTTGAACGTGGTTTATGACATCAAAGAGGTTCAACAAAAAACATTGGGTTAAAATTTGAAGACAATTTTAAAACCGATGTTCCTCTATCCCCGCCTCAGAGCTCTTCTCCATTCCCAAACCCCAAAATGTTACCTTGTCCACTCTCTAAAGTCCTTCTCCACAACTTCAGATTCGTCTCAACAATCCTTCACCATATCCTACCTCATCAACAATTGCGGTTTATCTCCCCAAGACGCTCTCAAAGCATCCAAACGCATCAATTTCAGCACCCCCGAAAAACCCGATTCCGTCATCACCTTCTTCAAAACCCACGGTTTCTTCACTCACCACATTCAAACCATTATCCTCAAGGATCCTGAGCTTCTAGTCTCAAACCCCATCAAGTCCCTTTTGCCAAAGTTCCAATTTTTATCCTCCAAAGGCGTTTCCCCCTCAGATATAGTCGCCACCGTCATCAGAAGCCCTCGTTTCCTCCGTGTAAGCCTTGAGAAACACGTTATCCCTGCTTTTGAATTGGTAAGAAGCTTCTGTCCCTCTGATAAAAAAGCTATTGATTCGATCATTGTTTGTCCCACTTCGATCAGTGACGGTCGAATGAAACCAAATGTTCAATTTTTAATTGATTTTGGGGTAACCCCTTCTTGTATTTATCATTTCCTTAGGACTAGACCTTCTATAATATGTTCTAATGATTTGAGAAATGCTGTGGAAGAAATTAAGGAATTAGGGTTTGACCCTTCCAAAGTCAGTTTTGGTGTAGCATTATTGGCTAAAAGGGCTATCACTAAATCCCAATGGGATGCCAAATTTGATGTCTTGAAGAAGTGGGGTTGCTCTGAAGATGCAATTTCTAATGCATTTAAGAGGCAACCTAACTTCATGCTTAGGTCGCCGCAGAAACTCAATGCGGTGATGAGTTTTTGGGTCGAGGAGCTCGGTTGGGATCCTTCTGTGCTCTTGGCTGCACCGACGCTTTTTGGGTATAGTATAGAGAAAAGGCTTACTCCAAGGGCTTTGATTGTCAAGTATCTTCTGTCCAAAGGTTTGATAAAGGAGGGTGCTTGTTTAGCTACACCGTTTAATGTGACTGATGAGCATTTCCAGCGAAGGTATGTGAAACGTTTTAAGGAAACATCTGAGCTGTGAAACGTTTCCAGCGAATGTTAGCATCTTGTGCTTGGTTAAGTTATGATAGATATATAATATTCACATTTTGGTGGTGCTGTCAAAACCAGCCATATTATGTTTCTTAATGTCATTCTAGTTGCGGTGTTCTGACATATAGATCACAGTTCAAATTCTAGAAAATGGTTCTTTGGTTGGATGAGTTGAGTTTGATTGTATTTTTGAAATTTGCTTATTTGGAACTTGGAAGCCTGTTGTGTTTAAGTCACAATTCTGGCCTAAATTACTAGTTTTATATTTTTTATATAATTGATCCAAGAGAACCATTGATTTTGCAGTTGGAAAATATGATTGTTTTATTCAACATGTATTCTTTTTGAGTTTAAAAAATGTGTATGGATTCATGTCACATGTTCTTAGGGAAACTCAAGTGATTCAATGCTTATCCTTTTAATTATCCGCTTACAACATTTGTTGTATACAGTTTTTTGTGTACACTTATTGTTTCTCATTAACCTATCTCAAGTTACCGAGTCTGTTGTTATGAGTTTGAAGAAAGTTTATTCTTTGTACCTGGCAACTGGTTTTTGTCTCTTATGTGGAAGAACAGGATAACACATATCATGTGTTAAAGATTCTGCCATCGGCATCGCACTTGATTCGTGACAGGTCATTATGTTTGATTCGTGTAGCGGGTTCTTGAGTAAAGTTTCCTTTTTTCGGATACATAGTATGAATTAAGTTTGATCGTAGTGAAATAAGCAGATATGTGAAAATTACCTTCAGGCTTTTGCTAACACACCTACTGAAAGAAGTTGCAGTGACTGGTTATAAAGAAGTGAGAACAATTAGTTGTATGTTGAATTAGGGGATTATTTAAGAGTTGAGATTGTATAAGATATTTTTCCACTCTTATCTGGAATATGTGTATTTAGGTTTTTTATTTTATTTTAAAGAATTATGTTCTCGTTTGTTTTATCTTTAAATAAGATTTTTTTTATATTTTTAAAAATGATTTTTTTTAAAAATGTTTTTAAAATATTAAAAGTGTTTTAAACTCATTTGTTATTAGATAAAAGATTAATTTTGACATCAAGTAATATAAATATACATTATTGAAGATTAAAACATAATCAAAATCACAATTTTTTTAAAAGATGTATTTCAAAAATAATTTTTATGAAAAGTTTTTCAAATAATTTGATTTTTTAAAATTTTGATATTAAAAAAAAAGTTATAGTAAAATGAATAACATTTTAAGAAAAATTATTTAAATTGATTTTTTATTAGGCTAAATATGTTTTAATCTCGATAAATAGATTCAACTTTAGTTCCTATAAAATTTTCTTTCGAATAATAGTCCTATAAATATTTTTTATCCATAAATTTAGTCTCTCTTGTTAGTTTTCACTAACGGAGGCTGATGTGACAACACACGTGACATAACGTTTGTAAAGTGTCATTTGTTGACTTGACCAACGTGGAATTAAAAACAATTCGTTTAATAAAGTTAGTTAACCAAACATTGAAAACCCTATGAACTTCACAATTTGAGCCATTTGCGCCTTCAATTCATCGTTTGAAACACCATTGAAACCCTACAAAGTAAAAAATGATATTCTAGTTCTACTGCGTCCTGTTTTATTTCTTCATCGTTTGAAGTTAATTACAAAGGAAAAGGTAAAAACGTTGATTTATTGTTGTGATAGTCCCATTCAGTTTACTGATAGATTGTGGTGGTCCCATTTCTAGAACTCATCTTTTGATTCTGTTGTGGTCCCATTTAGTTCATGTTTATTCACTTTTTTATACTAAATTTGTTATTTTTCTGTTGAGTATTAGTTTAGGGTTTAGGGATCCATCACTTTTATACTTTTATGTAGTAAATGAGGTTTTTTAGTATATTTATACATGTATAATGTTGGGTATACTTTGAATGTGTATGTGTATATCGTATTTGACCCTAAGTATAATGTACATGACATGTGGTTATTTAAGGTTATGTTCTACGCCCATGGTTGTTTTGTAAAAGACCTTAGTTTAAGATATGCGAGTGGAGATGTTTATGCATATAGTGGTGAAGATCTGAATAATTGGTCTTATTTTGAAGTACGTGACTTAATCAAGGGGATTGATTCAGAATTTGATGTTGGAGTTGTGAAAATATGGCGGAAACATTGTGTTGAAAGTTTTGAAGAAGATTTAAAACCCTTTAGGGATGATGGAGACACATTTGAGTTAGCTGTGTTTGTATTTAGAATAATTGTGAAGTAGAAATATATACTAAGCCAAAACCAATTATAGGAGAAGTCACATTTGTGGGTAAGGTTAGAGAGAAAATGAAGAGAAAGAAATATGATGAAGAGGTTGTTAATTCTAGTGAATCAAGTAATGAATCAGTGAAGGGTATATATTTTGATGATAATGAGAAGGAGATGATGAAATGATTTGATGAAGGTTTTGATGTAGGTATGGGTGAAGGTCTACCTAGAGCTACACTTGTTGGTAATGGTCATGTAATAAGTGAACCAACCCATAAATCCTTTATCTCACAAGAGATGGGTAGGGAACATGTAATTGAGGAAGAATATATGACGATGAATTTTACAGTTGGATAAGTGATGAAAGTTGTGATGATATGCCTAGTGAAATTAGATTCAATGAAGAAGACTCTTTTAGCAAGGTTTTTACTTTCAAGGTTGGAATGGAGTTTTCTTTTTTAAAACAGTTCAAAAATGTCATTTTAGAGCATAATGTCTTGAATGGTAGGGATGTGAGATTTGAAAAAATGCTACAAATAGATGGAGGGTTGTTTGTAAGGACAAAAAACTATGTACCTATATTATATTATGTAACAGAGTTCTAAGAACCACAACTTTTAGGATCAAGAAATTGTTTAACAGACACAAATGTGGAAGATAATTCTTCAATAAAAGTGCCAAAGCAGACTAGGTTGCAAAAGTGATTGTTGATGGGTTAAAGAACAATACTAAGATGAAGTTAAATGAGGTGGTAGCATATGTGAGGATGAGGTATGCTACTGAAATCTATGGTTGTAGAGCTTTTAATGCAAGGAAGCTTGCTAGACAAATTGTTGAAGAGGACTCTAGAAAGCAATATAACTTGTTATGATCATATGGTACTGAATTGAGGATGGCTTCATTAGGAAACACTTTCAAACTCAACATTAATTGTCCAACACCAGGGATCCAACCTAGGTTTGAAAGGTGTTACATATGTTTTGATGGGGCAAAAAAGGCTCTGACAAAAGCAAACAGACCTTTTATAGGTTTAGATGGATGTCATCTCAAATACAAATATGATAGAATATGACTAATTGCTATTGGGATGGATCCTAATGATCACTACTTTCCTCTTGCTTTTGGGGTTGTTGATAATGAAACCAAGGAGTCATGAAGCTGGTTTATTAACTTGCTGCTGGAAGACATTAGTGAAACTAGATGGTGTTTCATTTCTGATTAGCAAAAGGTAAGTCTTTCTCTTATTAACTATGTTGTTTTTATTACCTAATTTGTTATGTTTTTTAACTGAATGCACTTCTTATTATTGGAAGGGTTTGGTTCAAGTTTTTGAGGAGTAATATCTAACATATGAACACAAATTCTGTTCAAGGCATTTGTATGCCAACTTCAAGAAGAATTTTAGAGGAATAACTTTGTTTGGAGATCTCATTATGGTTGCTTCAAAGGGAATACACTTTAAAGTCCATGAACCTAAGATGCTTCAAATCAAGGGGGTAAGATTAGAAGCATATGAATGCAAACAAGCTATTCCCAAAACAAATGGTGTAAACATGTTTTCCTTTTAGTTTTAAGTGTGGTGTCTTAATGAACAATCTAAGTCTTTCAATGCAACTATTTTGTTACAAGGGACAAGACAATAATAATCATGTTTGAGGGATAAGGAATTATCTTATGAGAAGACTTTCCACACTTAGGGTAAAGGTAGAGGAGTATAAGGAAGAAATAATATCCATACACATTAGAGGATTATATAGAGAAATAGAAAAAAAAATGCTAGTTGAACTGCAACATACAAAGGTAGGTTACCATTTCAAGTTACACATGCCCTGTTTACTGGTAGCTTTGTGGTTCATGGGGATACCATGTCTACATGGTATAGGCTCATGGGGATACCAGTAAACAGGGAATTATATGAGCATGATGTTATAAGCTCATACCCAAGAGTTATATGAGCATGATGTTTTCAAAGTGGTCATCTAATTCCCCGTTTAATGGTAACTTTTGGGACTTGGTGGGGATACCATGTAGACATGGTGCAACTGCAATTCGTAGGGAATTAGATGACCCCGTCAAATATGTGCATGAATGCTTATCACAAGACCACATGTGCAAAATGTTATGATGAGGTGGTCACTACTTTACATGGGCAAAAAAAGTCCCAAGACCTATGATCCTATGATATAGGCTCTCACGTTCAAACGTGGCCCAGGAAGGTCAAATAAGCTTCTTAGAAGAGAACCAGGCGAGTCAAACCCAACCAAAGGGAAAATATCAAATACTAGCCATAGGTACAAGAAGTGTTTGAAATATGGCCACAATAATAGAACTTATAAGAAAAACAAACAATGTTCGTGTCTCATTTGAAATAGGCCAACCTACACAATCAAAGGAACCTCCTACAAATGTCATCCAAAATAACAAAGTCTAAAAGTCACCAAAGGAAAAGGTTAGGTTTTGAGTTTATATTGTGATTTTGTGTACATCATAATGTGTAGTTATTAATTATGTCTGTCTTTATTACAGGTAGGCCTAAAGGGTATGCGAATGGTGACAAAAGTACACATGTTCTAAAAAATAAAAAGATTTTAAACAATAATTCATTTCCGTTAGGCATATAGCGGTAGCAAGTTTAGATTGGTGTCTAGTAACTCTTATTGGTTCAAAACTTCAGCTACATTACCAAAAACTTCTCAAGTCAAGTCCAATTCTTCCAAAACTAAATTTTCTTCCAATATTCCATTTTCATCCTCGAGCAAA